ATATCCTTTTTTGCACCTTTACCTTGTAGACATAACTTAACATGATCACAGACATCACAGTCTTAGCATTTGCAATATCTTCATTTCCTGTGACACACCATCCAAATAATTGTTCTTTCCAGGGACAAAAACCATAAAATAAAATAATTGTCCTTTCAAAAAAAAAAAAAAATAATAATTCCGTTTATAGTGTTTATTACTGTTTAAGGACCTAATTGAACTAGACTTAAAAGCTTGTGGACTTATCCATATTTTCTCAACCGTGGTGCAAAAGGAAACATTAAAACGCTCAGCCTTCTCGTATGCAGCGGCGTCGTTTTTGTGGAATGTCGTTCTGCAACCTGCAAAATTGGAAAACCTAGAAGGCTAGAACCTGCCTTCTTTTTCCCCCAGTTCTGTATTGAGTCTGCGAATTAAGAACGGAGCCTGAAATGCGCATATCTCTGTCGCGGCTGGGCAATGCGTTGCCTTTTCCAAAGATTTTCAGGTATTTAATTTAGGGTTTCAGTAATTCATTGATTTTATGACCATTTACGATGATTTGAGGATTAAGTTAGGTTTTTTTATTTTTATTTTTATGTTTTATCTCTGTTTGGATAATCGGAAAAGGGGAGTCTCAAGTTGATGTCTTTAAGATGTATTTAGCATATCTAAGAAAAGAATTGCACTTTGTTTAGCTTAAATTGACAGAAAAAAAATATGAAACTGTGTTTTTTGGGTTAATTTTATCTAAGGCAGCTGGAGCAGGAGATGGAAACTGTGATCAGAGTACTGCAACCTGGACCCTTGGGGATCACTGAGCACAAGTTCTCCGATGAGGAAATCCGCGAGGCCAATGCCACTGTTCGTAGAGCTGTAGAGAATTGGCGAAGAAATGCAAGCCTAGAGCAGATGAATGGTGTCTTAAAAGATTATATTCACAAGTGATGATGGATCACTATTTATTTGATACGAGAATTTGAAATTTTTGTAACACTCTTTTGTGGTGCTTTGTCAAAGTGTTAGAACAATTGCTTGAATTAAATTTTAAAGAAAAAGTTTTTTATCAGTTCTTTTTTTCAATATCTGTAATGTTTATGATTGAAGAAATGCCTCTTTGTTTGTGGAAATCATTTCTCTTTTGCTCGTACTCCTTTTATATTTTTGTGCTTGAGATGTTGATGATTGAAGAAATGCTGTTGTTTGTTTAGAGAAGCCTCTGGGAGTATCTTATGGCATGAAAGTTTCTGTAATTAAGTGTATTTTTCTTATGTAAGGAACTTAGGCAGGATGGAATGTTAGACGAGTCTATTATGGGTGAGGGTTTTGATGATTTGCCTATATGTATGGTAAATTCAAGTCATCAAGCTACGTTTACCTGCATTTAGCGTGAGACTGGACCTTCTAGAAAGCAAGTTCCTATTGAAGATAGTTCAGAAAGACTGTTCATTGCAGCTCCAGGATAGATGGGAAGATTGAAAGAGACAAGAAACAATGGAAGGGGACGGAGAGGAGGGAAGACATTGCTCTAGGGTTCCTACTGCTGGTTGAATTGGTTAGTTTCTTTATGGAAGCTTATTTCATTTCATTTTGATTTTTTAAGTGCTTTTTCACCTAGCTGTAAGGTTAAACTATAGGTTTATTTTGATCTCTATGTTGTGGCACATACAACATTTCTTGCTGAAGATTAGCGCGCTTCTGCTTTCCTGTCATTATACCTTACCTTCATCCATACTGATGGTAAGAACAGGAAAGAGATTAAAATCTTGTGAAACATGTTTATGCCTTGACAGAGTGTTAAGAGGGTTAACATCAATTTACTTTCATTCTCTTAATTTCCGACTCTGGAGATAATGGCTTAACTTCTATTTGGGCGCTTCTTCTTCTTCTTCTTTTTTTTTTTTTTTGAACGTATTGCAATTATTTAGAAGTTAATTGGGGGATGAGGGAAAGAGTTTTCGTGAAGTTTAAACATGCAACCCACAAGAGGTAAGTAGCTTTAATCCAGCATCCAATGCAATTGGACTGGAACGGACAGTTCATTTTAGCGCTTCCTCTTAATGTTGAAAGTACAGTGACAAAGTGTCACATCCTTCCTGAGTGCTTCTTTAGATATGAGGAGAAAGTTCTTTGAAACATGGTGATTAAAAGCATCAAACAGAAGATA